CACGATATCCAGAGCAGGCAGCTTTTGCGGTTTATGAAGGTTACAAAACCCTTCGCCGGCTTCTGGAAGGTAGCGACCTCCGTCTGTCCCTTAAGAAAACAGGCTTCCTGTGCACCACTGCAGAAGCCAGAAGGGAGCTACAGAAGATTTAGGCCTGGACTGTGCCCTGGGTCGGGTCCGAAGGGTCAAGGTGCAAAGAGCCCGAAGGCACAAAGCGGGCCAACGACAGAAGAAGTTGAAACAACTGAGAGTCCCGGGTGTGCCGGCCAAGGTCCGCCTCTTCAGGGGAGGGGTTGCCTCCGTCCTTACTTGGGGCCACCAAGCCCAGGGAATGCCGCCCACCCGGAGACAGAAGCTCCGGACTGTCTTGGCTGAGCAGTGTGGCAGACAGAAAATGGGCAACCTGGAGGTGGCTCTGTCCTCTGTAGGAGACAGGTACCAGGATCCGGGTCGCACGCTGATGGTCCAGCAAGTTGAAGCCTGGTTCCAGCTCAAGAGGTGGGCCGGCAAGGAAGATCTGCTGGAAAGAACCTGGGGCCTCACAGTCCAAAAACTGGAGGAAGCCAGCCGGTGGCAAATGGTTAAGGGCCCTCTTGCAGCTACCGTTGCATACCTGCTTGACCTGGGTTGGCAGCCTAGAGACAGTGATGAGTGGCTGGACACCCGGGGCGCCAGGCACACCATGTACACCCCACAGCAGGAGTGTCGTGTCCTTGACCTCCTCCAGCAAACTTATCAGGAAGAAGTAGACCGCCGCATCGCCACCGGCCTCGCTGCTCCTGAGCTAAAGGGGGGAATAGATTGGACAGTAGGGAGGAAACTGTTGGGGGGTTTTAAGAAAGAAGGGCGAACCACGAAAGCAGCTGCCCTGAGGTGTGTTTGGCAGGGTGCCCTGGTGTGCAGCCAGAACTCTGCCGTCAAGGTGTGCCCCCGGTGCCACCAGGAAGCGGACTGGGAGCATGTGCTCTTGGATTGTGCCTGGTGGGAAGCCCAGAACTGGGAGCTGCCAGCATGGTTCCAAGAAGGCAGGGCCCAAGGCCCGCGATCGCTGTGGACCAGGGGCCTCCCGCCCAAACCCGAATGGCAGGTACCACCTCCCCAGGAAGACAATCCCATCTTTTTGGGCATATGGGCTGACAAAGAGCCCCTCAGCGACCCGGAGCTTGTGTATGGCACAGATGCTAGCGGTGGCCCTTTCACGGCGGACCCGAGACTCCGGAAGGTAGCCTACGCAGTGGTGGCCTGCAAGAAACAGGGCCAAGAATACGTCCAGGTAGGGGCAATCGTCGGCCAAGTCCCTGGACCACAGACGGTTTTTCGGGGTGAGATGTATGCAGTTTTGCAGCTGGCCCGCTATACCGAAGGCCCTATTGACACGACACTAGACTGCCTTGGTGTCCCGAAACGAGTCCGCAGCCCAAAGCCGGGGAAAACCCACGGTGACATCTGGTGGGAGCTGCAAGCCACGGATGTCAACCACCTCAAAATGAAATGGGTTCCGTCCCATGTTTCAGAGGAGGAGTTCCTCCGGAAGGTTGGTGCGGAAAACTCGTGGAGACAGCAGGTCAATGACCTGGCGGACAAGCTGTGTGGGGAAAAAGCGGCCGAGCTGGCCCGCCCTGATGTCCGGGCAGCCAGTCAGTACCAGGACCATTGCAGCAAAAAGGCCCAAGAGTTCCTGGCGAGCAGGGCGGAAAAGATCCTTACTGCCATTGGGGAAAATCAGCACCCAGTGTGTAAGGTCTTCCTGCAGGAAAAGCAGGCTCGCAAGAGCAACGAGGCCACCTCCAGGCCCTGCAAAAAGCGCATTGGCTCCAACATAGGGAGAGGCCACATCACCACCCAACAGGAATGGTTCCAGGAGCTGGTCCGGACCAAACCTGTGCATGCGTGGGAATGGGAAGGTCTCAACCTCCGGTGTGCTCAGTGTCAACTTAAACTCCTGCACACAAAGAACCGCAAAACCTTGGAAGCACTGGCAGCGCACCAATGCACACACCAAGGCAGAGTGACGGTTGAAGGGGTACATGTTACACATGTTTTAAAACTGCTAGGGGACAGACAACTGTGGGTCTGCGAAGGTTGTGGTGGACAGTTGTCCTTGAAGACTAAAAATGTTTCGCAAAAACTTTCAGTTGCATGCAGTTTTAAAAAGGACCCCAGGTGCAAGGCGCAGTTTAAGCCCGAGCCAACCAATGCCATCCGCAGCTTCTTTCAGCAGGTGCAAGGGACAGCCCAAGTGCAGCAGACCCCCTGTGCAAAATCCCTGAAGGCACCGGCAGCTGAAGCAACCTAGGAGGTTGCATCCTCCCAGTGAGGATAAAGTGAAGGTCATCCTCGCTACCAGAGAAACCACCCCTGACCGATCCCCTCTAACAGCCTGCGCCAGGTGCACCAGCGGCCTTGAGGGAACTTTTTGTCAGGAGGTTTAATCCTCTCATGAGGTATCACCCTCTGGTAGCATCCCAACGAGGATGATGGAGTCGAGGTTCATCCTCGCTGCCAGAGAACACACCCCTGGCCGATTTCCTCTCACAGTTTGCACACAGTGCACCAGAAACCTTGAGGAATGTTTTGCCAGGAGGTTCAATCCTCTCATGAGGTATCAACCTCTGGTAGCATCCCAAAGAGGATGATAGTTTAGGAGGAGGTGATATTCCTCCCCTGTACCATAGGGCCAAGAGGGCCATCAGTAGTGCCAGTACAGAGGCACGGTTTTCACAACCCAAACACCAAGCAGGTGGATCGCATTTGTTCGCTCAACTCGAAAAAAAAAAGTCCAATCAAAAGGGTGCAGAAGATTGGCACTAGAAAGGCCTTCACGAAGAAGTTCAAGGTTTTTGGATCGTCTCAGCATGGCTCAGGAGTTGGCGGAAAACCAATCATGAAGGTGGTAGGACCAAGGCCAGGTTTTCCAGCTGTACTCCAAGCACCAACTACTGATAGCACGTCGGGTGAAGGGAGCAGTCCCCAGGTACATGGCAATGTTCATGTAGAGCACAATCGCCCTATGGACCGGTATGAGGCAGAGCGCTTGGAGAAGAGGAAGAAGGGCTTCTGCTACTGGTTCGGCAAGGGGAAAGATCGCTGCAAATTTGGTGACGACTGCAAATTCATCCATTCCGAAGATGATGTGGTGCTACATTCATATTGGTGCAAATACTATGTGGCAGGGAGAGAATGTTTCGCTGGAAAGGATTGTGAGTTCTCGCATGATGCAACTGGTGTGAGGTGCATCCAGTTTGCTCGGTCTGGGAAGTGTCGGTTTGGTGACAGGTGTGTCTTCGAGCATGGTGTTCCGCTGGAAGAACAGAGGCCAAGGTCTCCAAGGACGCCCCCAAGGGATGGTCCAAGGAGAAGTTCTGGTGCAAATGGTGGTGAAAAGGAGATCTCTCCTGAACAGTTCGATGATGGTGAGGAGTATTCCATGACCTATGACGATGACACCAAAATGTCGGAACTGTTGATGGAAGCGATTTCATTTCTGTCGAATGGCAAAACAGATTTGGCCCGAGCAGAGGCGGACCCACTGTTCAAACTCCTGAAGTTCAAGGGAGATGCTGACCAGATGGATAGAGAATGGGTATCGTGGACCGACGATATGTTGTCCGTGCTGGAACTTCACGAAGTAGTGAAGTCGTATGAGGTTTCGCTCGAGGAGGTGGAAGAATGGGTCAATGACCTGAGGATATGGTTCGAGCGAGCCAACGTGGAAGAAGAAAAAGATCCCAAAAGGGGCAAGAAGAGGTCCCTAGAAAGGGAGTCCAGCAAAGATATTCCTGCCGAAAAGGAGGTGGTTGAGACTTCTGAGACGGAGGTTGTCGTTGAGGAGGAGAAGAAAAAAGGTAAAAAAGAAGAGGAAAGCTGCAGCTATCGAAGATCCTTACACTCTCATGGTTCCAAAGCCGAAGAAGATGCCGGCGATCATTGAGAAGGGTGGATCATCATCCAATGTGGTGGTTTCTGCAGTGGAAAAAGCCTCGAAAGTGCGCACAAAGTCAAATGTCGGTGGAAAGACAAAGAAGAAGGAGAAAAGTCAGAGTCCCAAAAAAGAAGAGGTGGTAATGGTGCAAGATCCTGAGGAAAAGGATCGTCCATCTGATGCGGATGCACCAGGGTCTGCCACTGCGAATGCAGAGCTGGGTCAATCTTGCCAGGCGATTGAGGACGCAAAGAGAGAAGGATTGGTATCCTCAATTCAAAGGGGCGTACAGGATCCTGTTCTTACAGTTTCGGACCTGGAGTATATTCTGCTGCAACTTCACCTCAAGATTGCCAACAATCGGAAAAAGAAGTGATTGGATGGTGCGGATGAAGGGATGGTTTTTCTCTTTCTGGAGACAGGTGCGCTGGAACAGCCAATGCGCTGACAAATGTGGTGGTTACTATTAAGGGTATGGAAATCCCTGATAGTAGAAGTCAGTAGCTTTTCGCGTAGCGAAGACCACGGTTTGTGGTGAAGAAGGCCAAGGAGTCTTCAGTGATGAGAGGATCATGGTGAAAAAAGATTCTCTATGGTTAGTGGATTTAGCCAATGTGCTATAATTTCGTCCTGGTAGACGTAAAACCATATTGTGCATTTCAAGCAGCTGGCTGCTGCCCTAATGGCAGTTTTTGGCCAAAAGATCTGCACCTCCAATGTGTCCTAGGAAATCCTAGGACAGGGGGAGTGCGGAGCTGCAATTGGTATTGTAGAAAGGAGTTCGTGTTGGGGTTGGATGGGTCAATGAACCCGGAAATCATATTTGGCTCAAGATGGCCGAGAGCCGTCAGCTTTTGTTGAAAAAGTACGTACGCTTGGGGTTGGGTTTAACGGGTTGGAGTAGTCCCGTCCCTTCTCCCTTATCTTGTCCCCTTAGGGTTGGGTGTTCTTGTTTCTGGTTCGATCTGGGAAATCTATATAGGCGACTGTTGAGGGTTGGTTTCTTTCCCTGTTCCCTTTCGGTTGCCCCCGTACCCGAAACCCTAAACCCTAAACCCGAAACCCGAAACCCGAAACCCTAGCCCCGCTCCTTGCTCTCGGAATACTCCTGGAGCTTGCCAACCAGCCAGCTCTGGGTCTGCCGGACCTTTGGTACCATGTCGGGCCACCTGCCCCGAAAAAAAACGGAAGGTTTGGTGGTGGCCTTGCGGTGGCGTAGGGGGGTCTAGCGGTCTAGTGAGAGCTTAGGGTTGGGGGTTTGGGGTTTGGGGTTTGGGGTTTGGGGTTTAGGGTTTATCGGGGCTTGTGTTTGAAAGGAGCAGAAGTACAAGAAAGCCGGGATGTCGAGGCTAAAAAGCCGAGTGGTGCACAAGTGAACTGCCTGCAACAGTCGCCGTGGTTAGGCTCTTGAGGCCACAGGTTTGTGCAGCAAAGTCGAAACTCCAACCGGAGCCTTAACATCGAAAAAACCACTACCCTAAGCCCTACACCTCGACCCTAAACCTATACCTATACCCTAAACCCTAATATCCTAAACCCTATACCCTAATACCCTAAACCCTAAACCCGAACAGCGCTCCCTAAGTACACAGTGAGAGGGCACAATTGAGGGGAATCGAGGCAGGAGATGGCACTCTGCGGACCGGAGCCTCCGATTTGAATATATACTCATAGGTTTAGGGTTTAGGGTTTAGGGTTTAGGGTTTAGGGTTTCGGGTTTCGGGTTTCGGGTTTCGGGTTTCGGGTTTCGGGTTTCGGGTTTCGGGTTTAGGGTATGCATACAGTATAATCACACCATAGTAGTAAATCTGCTCGGCAGAGCACGAAAATCGAGGCTTCGCCAATGAAAGCAATGTCTGGGTCGTTGTTGGCGTGCATTTTGACGTACCACGACGAAAGCGCCACAGGGCCACGACAACACCGAGAGGACTGATGTGCGCGAAGCGCGAAGAAGTGCCATCAGTTTCACCCTAAACCCTAAACCCTAAACCCTAAACCCTAAACCCTAAACCCTAAACCCTAAACCGGCTCTGGCCTCGTCTTCCCTCGGAGCCGAACCCCCCGTGCAGGTCCCTCCAAAATGGCATCTTCCCCTCCCCCTACGCCCTGCAGAGGGCAAGTATACCCTGAACCCAGAGGAAAAAAGAAAGGAAACAATCACATAGGGGCCTGAAGAATTAGAAGAATAGGTTTTTGGGGGTTGCTGAAGCCCTAAACCCTAAACCCTAAACCCTAAACCCTAAACCCTAAACCCTAAAAGAGACAGAGAGGGCACCTGCGGCGATGGTCGGCGCCGATCTTGAGCATGTTCACCGTGAAGCCGCCCTTGGAGATCCTTCGCAGAGGTCGCTTGCGGCTGCGGATTCCGAGGTGTGCGGCTTCTTCGGGGCTGTTTCAAGCTTGAGAGGGCTTTAGTGCTGTAAGGACATTTAAGGCTTACAAGAGGCCCTCAAGTCCAGCAGAACCCAATCCAAAATCCTAAACCCTAACCCTAAACCCTAGACCCTAAACCCTAGACCCTAAACTTCCCTTAGATGCAGGCTGCGGGTCATGTTGAGGAGGGCAAAGCCCACGGCGTTGCTCTTCGCGTCTCCGAGGAGCCCGAGGCCTTCGGCCGAGACAAGCCACCAGGCCGGAAATGCAGGCCACGTGAACCTGAGATGAAAGGAGTCAACTTAAGTTTAAGGCAGAAGCATCTGACAATTTCATTTGCACATTAAGCCTGGAATCCCGAGCCCGAAATAAAATGTGGGGGGATGCTAGGGCGGGTTGCGGCTCACATAAATTCACACGTACTCCCTCTCTCCCTCTCTCCCCCACTCTGTCCCATCTCCCCCCTCTCCCCCCTCCCGCCATCCCCCCCTCTCTCCCCTCTCTCCCCTCTCTCCTCTCTCTCCCCTCTCTCCTTCTCTCCCTCTCCCACATTGTCCCCTATATCACCCTTCATCAGGAAGAATATTTTGATTTTGGTCGGTGTTCTTAAGCAAATAGTAGAATTGGCTGCCCTAGCCGCCCTAGCCATCATGTCCCGCATGGCAGCAGGGATCTTCATTTCGAGGCGGCCCAAACCCAAACCCAGGTGCCCCGGCCTTTCACTGAGCGTGATGATCTACAAGGGACTGGGTGGTGCGAGCCTTCCTGCATTGGTGCTGCAGGCACCGAGGCTTAATTTCTTCCATGGCTGCAAAAGCCAGGCGTCTCTCTCTCGCTCTCTCTCTCTCTCTCTGTTTGCATGCTTGGCCCCCCCCCGTAGGAGAGCCGCCACGAAGGGCGCACGAGTCCTGCCAGGCTGCCCCCGCATGGCTGCCGGCTGCTGGTCCTGTCCCCTTTCTCACAGACAACCAGAAAGTTTAAGCACAAACAAAAAACCGATGAGAGCATTTCAGGGATGGACCCGTTCAGTGAAGTTGTGGGTGGCCTTGCCGAAAACGATAACTAAGAAAGTCTAGAACGTGGAACAACAGTGTTTATCTCTCCCTCCCTCTCTCCCTCTCCCTCTCCCTCTCCCTCCTCTCCCTCTCCTTCTCCCTCTCCCCCTCTCTCTCCCCCTCCGTCCCCCTCCCCTCCCCTCTCCCCGTCTGTCTGCGCGAGTTAGAAGTCTTAAAAGCCTCACCTGCTACCTGCATGGGCTATCATATCGTATCACCCCCTTACAAAGGCCAGTTATAGGGTTGGTTAGGGGAATTCTAGGGTAGCATTCTAGGGTTTAATAGCCAATGCTATTATGGCCACTATTGGCCGCGCGACCACACGGAGCACATCAGGCGCATGTAGTAGTACGGAAGGTCGCGATGAGCCCGGCATCCTCCTTCATAGAAGCGCGCTTCAGACTCCGCATCCAATTCCCCGTGAGCCGCCGATTTTTGGGGCCAAAACCAAACTGTCACCTTAGAACCTCCTTTTTTCCCCGACCCCCAGATGCTAACAGCACACCACTAAGCCGTGCACGCCCCAAAGGCCTTCCAGAATCCAACGCCCAACTGTAAACTCCTGAGCACTTCTAGATCTCTAGCTCTGAACACCCACACCCACACCCACACCCACACCCACACCCACACCCACACCCACAGCCACAGCCACAGCCACAGCCACAGCCACAGCCACAGCCACAGCCACAGCCACAGCCACAGCCACAGCCACAGCCACAGCCACAGCCACAGCCACAGCCACAGCCACAGCCACAGCCACACCCACATGCCCTCACACTGGCGCACTACGCACCTCCTAATAATGCTGAATCTTCACGACCCACGCAGGCCTGCCCAGAAGTAGCACAAGCAAAGGAAGGGCATCTGCACGAGGCAGAGGAAGGCAAGGCATGCTGTGGTGATTCCGATGGCAATGCCCTTGTTCGTGATCACCAGGACCGAAACCTCCGAGTTCGGGTGTACAGGGTTCGGGGTTGGGGCTTCAGTCGATTAGGGGCTGGGTTTTTGGGAAGAATCACCCTAAACCCTAAACCCTAAACCCTAAACCCTAAACCCAATGTGCCCTTTGCCATGGCATCCAGAGCCCCGACGACAACCTCCCACGGCCCCAACCCTGCAGCATCCTACTTGAAGGCTCATGGGTAGTTGGTTTAGGGTTTCGGGTTTAGGGTTTAGGGTTTAGGGCTTAGGGCTTAGGGTTTAAGGCCACCTGAAGGCCAATGGGTAGTTGTATGTAGGGTTGTAAGTACCTGGAAAAAGGTTATCACCAGATATATAACTATCGTTACCCTACTTATAACCCTACTTCTAACTCGCCATGAACCTCCAAGTAGTACTGCGAACACGAACTGCCGATCGTCGTTGACAAGTTTCCTGAACACAGCTTGACTTAAACAGCCGCTTTACATGTGCATCGTCCTGCCTACCAAGGGTGTTGTGCCCGACAGGTTTTGCAAGTTCTACATTCCACACCCTAGAACCCAATCGAAACTTTCAAACCTCTGCAACAATGCAAAATCTTGGTTGGCCTCCCAGGACGATTTGAAGAGCTCCCACGAGGCATCCTCAAACAGGAAGCCTGCACGAGCTGTCAGAGCTGAACTAGGGCTCGCTTGGAGGTTGAGGGGTAGCTATAAGTAGGGCTACAAGTGCCCTAAACCCTAAACCTAAACCCTAACCCTAACCCTAAACCCTAAACCGTTATCACCAGTTCTAGCTATAGTAGCCCTATTTATGACTAGCCCGATTCTATCTCAGAATTTTTGGGGCCGAGGAGCCGTCGTGCAAAGAGCCGATCCAGCCGCAGATGAGGAAGGCGTGGGTGAAGATGACCTGAACAACTCAAAACTGTTAGGGCATTAAGATCTTCGGGTTCGACAGTCTTCCATGACGATTCATTTATGAAAGCCACTTGCGGCTGACATGTGTCTTTGTCACGGCGGAAGGCAAGGCCGGAACAGCCGAGCGGCCACAGAGACAACGTTGAACTTGTAACAAGGAACATAGGGGGCGATGAGAACCACGAGCTCCGCCTGCATCAATGAGCAGGTGAAGGCGTAGCCGAGGTACCGGAGACCATTAACATTGTCGATGTGCAGCCAACGGAATACGGAGAAGAAGGCCGCAAGCGCCTGCGCAAGGCACATGGCAATGTTGAGGTTCCGGCAGAAGGTGATTCTGTCCGCGCACGGCTTATTCGGCATCTCCGGCCAAGTCTTCATCAAGGTCCACCATTCGTCCGCGACCGGAGTGATGTAGTCCCGAAACATGCGCCACGAAGCATTGATCGGCTTCTTCACATCGGTCCTCACCACGATGCGGAGGGCGAGGTAGGTGAAGAAGAAGCCAAGAATGATGCTGGTGAGGCTCTCGATGGCGAACGCGGGGTAGAGCGGACCGCACGCACGGAAGAGCTGGTAGTCGTTGAGGCCTTCCACGGACGCCAATGCCGCCGAAGTCGCCATCGCTGAGGCCTTACCAATCGGGCCCGGAAGCAGGGGCACCCGGGCTCTTAAAAAGAGATTTCGAGCCAAGGGGCCTGAAAGCCCCAGTCACATTCGAACCAGTGCTGCTTGCCAGAAAGAGGAGGACTAAAGCTGCTCATTACCAGTACTAATAGTAATCCCTTATGGTGCCTTTGAATTATACTGCAGTAACACCAAACCCCCATGCTAATTATTTAGCCCCTATACTCGCCGCAGTTCGACACGGAGGCCCGATAAACCACAAGGTGACACCTAAAGTTGGTCCCCGCATGCTTAAAACGGGCCCGAGAAGCAGGGATGAGGGTTTAGGGTTTAGGGTTTAGAAAGCAGCACCTTACACATTGGGATGGTCCCCCTTTTTATACTAACAGCTCCTTAATTAATGGGGATTATAATGGGGTGGGGGGGCCCTGATATCCCGATTAAGGGCTGTTGTTAGTATAAGGGGGGAACATCCCAACTTACACCTCGCAAAGCCAGCGCTTGTTTCTCGTCGTTGTTGCGTGCCGGCTTCGTCTGACGTGGGCAATAAACAAGGTTGTCACGAGCTCCCGGTCCTTGGGAACGAAAGAGCTTGCTTAAAATGCACTTCCAGAGGAAATGTGCTGTAACTCAACCATAGGGTGCTGGGAAGAGGTGGCTTTTTGTGGGATCTTTGGTATTCAAGGGACTAAAGGAGGGACCCTTACAAGGAACCTTAGTTGTTTTTTAGGCTACTTAGGTACATAGGGACATTCCTATAAGGTATATGTAGGGGTTATATAGGGTTTATGAGACTAAGGGGTCCCTCCTTTTACCCCTTGTATGATACTGTCTGCAACTAGGACGACCATCCCTCTCTCCTGCTTGTCTGTTCAAGCCAAAAGTGCTTGAATGGCTGGAAAACCCAGACCTCTGAGAGGATCTAAAACGTAGATCCCCCAATTAGTATCCTACACTACTCTTGGGTCATCTGTAGGAACCCTTCAGGGGATCTACTTTTTGGATCCTCCCAGGGGTCTGAGAAAGGGGGGCTCCCCTCCAGCTCCTGCTTTTTGCGACAGTTGAAGCTTAGGGATTTTCTCCCTTGCCCCAAGTCGGTTGCACCCATCAACGCAACTCTAATGTCAGAAACGGCACGTAGGGCTGCGCTGCTCATTCCGCAGCCGGCGGGGGTGCGAGGCTTGCGAAGAAGTGGGGCCCTTTTTGAAGCTCAATGCCTAAGCCATCTAAGCCATCTAAGCCCTGCTCCTTAGCAGAGAGGCATGCGACTGGTAGTAAAACCCTAAACCCTAAACCCAAAACCCTAAACCCTGAAACCCTGAAACCCTAAAACCCAACTCATGACAGGCTTGCGATCCAAGCTTAGATCCTTTCGGCCGCGAGAGTGGAAGCTTCTAGAGTGCAGAGTTCCCCAAAGAGCCCAATACCTCTTAAATCCGGAATATACCTCAAATTATATAGGGATCCTGCAATTTAAGGGGTATTCGGCTCTCTGGGTGCTATGGAAGCTTTACAATTGCGGTGTCAGGCTTCCGCATGTAAAAAAAGCCCCAGCGGCCAATTCACCTGCGTTTAGGATGTTCAGGGTTTAGAGTTCAGGGCGTGAGCCTGTTTGCCTGAAAGCCAAGCAGCAGAAAACCTGAAGTGAGGAATTGAATTCGAAGTTATGATTAAATAAAGAAATTCAACATGCCAATTAAACTCTTCACGTCTGCTTGAGCTGTTGCAAGTGCAAAGGGTTCCATTCTTGCCCTTCCTCGATCCACCCGCCTTTGGCAACGGAAAATCATTCTCGCAGCGCTGCCCACAGACTTCATAAAAGATAATTGTCGTCCGGATTAGCGTTAGCTGGCGCGCTGGGTCAGGAGTTTTTTACTCATCTTGATGCGGGCTAAGTTAAGGCAGTTTTCGGGTGTAGTGTTCAGGGTCTAGGCTTCAAGGAACACTAATTCTGGGTCAGCAAAGGACGTCGCGGTCATAAAAGATGCGACGTCCCGAAGAAACTGACGAAGCCCTGAATTCCCAGCACGCCACTGGCAGGTTCATGGGTAGCTAGTAAATGTATAGGGTTTATACGTACTCTAAGTAAGGTTGTAATAAGAATTATAGCTACCCCACTTGTAGCCCTACTTAGGGCTTAGGGTACTTCTAACCCTACTTCTACCCTACCCATGAACCTCCAAAGCCCGAACCTGTCAAACGCGCCAGCGTGCTTCACACCCAAAGCGTCTCAGGCAGGGCAGCAGCCTGGCGCGAGCACTTTACTTGAGGGTTTAGGGTTTAGGGTTTAGGGCTTAGGGTTTAGGGTTTAGGGCTACTTGAAGGTTCAAGGGTAGTTGTAAGTTGGGCTATAAAGTACCCAGGTCTTTGGGCTCAAGGCTTTGCAGCAGAGGCTTCAGCGCTTGGGGCTTAGGGTTTAGGGTTTAGGGTTTAGGCCTTTCCAGCTCCGGCCCCGTGCTCGAGGTTGCAGGTGTGTCGGGTAAGAATAAGAAGTTCCTGCTTTTCGGTGGAGACATCCGGAATCCGGACTGTGGGGCTTTTGATGCAGAAACACATCCTTAAGCAGAGCCCATGGTCGCCTTCAGCTCAATTTCCCTCTCCGGTTTCTGGCCTGCGTCCTGGAGCTTCTCTTCCTGACGTCAAGCCCAGCGAAAAGACCCCCAAGCAAGGAAAGCCTTGACCTAAACCCTAAACCCTAACCCCTAAACCCTAAACCCTAAACCCTAAACCCCAACTGCGCTCCTTGTCCGCGGGCTTGTCCAAAGACTTGCCCTCGGACTCATACACCTGGAGCTTCTCCACCAGCCAACTCTGCCTCTTGCTGCCCTTCGGCGCCATGTCCGGCCACCTGCCCAAGCACACCAAGGCCCCAAACCTAGCCTTGTACAACATATATAGAGTACAGTAGATTTGCATACCGCATATAGATACACTCCTTAAATAATAGTAATATATTTTGTTCTTTCCGCAGACACGGGCAGAGCACATGTTGAAACGCCTCGCGGGAGAACGGCTTCCGGAATGGCTGAAGCTGACCGATACGCCCGACCCTAGTTAGGGTACGCCAGGGCAAAAGCCGAAAGGTTTCGGGTTCAGGATTTAGGGTTTAGGGCTGAGGGTATACGAATCTTGAGATATCACTCACAAACTAGTTCTAAACTCGACTCTTCTATTCGCTTATTGTTCTATCAAAACATATGCGGCTTATTCTGCTACTCTCAATCCCGTGACTCCATGGTTCTACTACTTTCAAACTTGAATTTTCCATTCTACGACTCGATTACTTGACCGTGCAAGCACAACTTTGGGGCGCAAAGCTCGAAAACTCCAAGAAGTCTAAGTCAAACGATCTAGTGTCTATAGCGTCTAGAGTTTAGGTCCAGAATGTGCAGATGGTGCAGCAATGACAAGAAATGAAACACAGAGAGATATATATATATATATATTCATATATATAGATGTCTCTCTCTGTACACACACACATATACTGCTTAAATTGCAGTACTAGACGAATCGAAACCCTGAATCGAGCCCCCTTGACCTTAGCAGACAGTCGATAAGCCGGGCTTGAGGGTAAGGAATGCAAAGCCTTCAAGATTCCTTCCCCCCCACCCCCCCCCCCCCCCCCCCTCCCCTGCAACCACCGCCCCCGAGAGAGTTCCCTGAAATTCATGAGCAACACAGGGCCACCTGCGGCGGTGGTCTGCGCCAATCTTGAGCATGTTCACAGTGAAGCCACCCTTGGAGATCCTCCACTTCGAATCTTTTGGGATTTTCGGGTCGATTGAGATTTAGGTACAGGTTTAGGGTCTTCGGTTTAGGGTTTAGGGTTTAAGGCTTAATTTAAGGTCAAAAAACTGCAACCCTAAAGGCTGCGGGTCATGTTGAGGATTGCGAAGCCCACGGCGTTGCTCTTGGCGTCTCCGAGGAGCCCGAGGCCTTCGGCCGAGACAAGCCACCAGGCCGGAAATGCCGGCCACGTGAACCTGGGGAAGGTGGGTCTAGGCTCTTTACACCCTTAACACTACTTTATAGGAATCCCTTTAAAGCCCAAGTGTATACTCTGTAGGTACACGGACCCCTTTTCCGAGTTGGTTGGGAGACTTTGTGAGGTGCTTGGGGATTCGTGGTCCTTGAGACCGCTAAGCTCATGTGACAACCCCGAAAACCACGCCATCCTACTCCAAGGTTCATGGGTAGATAGAAGTAGCGTTATAAAGATTCCCAAATGTGGTTCGAATCAGTTCTAGGGATACCAAGGAACCTCCGTCCTATCTGAGGACAAGAAGAAACACCCCAGAGTCGAGGGAGCTTCCTTCAACAAGGAGGGTGACATATTGGGGGCGGGGGCATTGCATTTTCGGAGCTTGGAGCTCAGAATTTCTATAAAATGTAAACACACACACATACGACTGTTCTCTCTCTCTCTCTCTCTGTCTCTCCTCTTTCTCTCGCGCTCCTCGCCCTCCCTCTCTCCACCTCTCTATCTCTCTTTCGTTCTCTCCCTCTCGCTCCTGCTCTCTCCCCCTCTCTCTCTCTCTGTCTCTCGCTCGCTCTCTCTAGTGTCATTGTGATTGTTCTTCTTATCATGCTTCTGCCTCCTCTCGGTCCGATGAGACTCTCGGTTTCGAGCAAGGAGTACCAACGCGAGCTCCCCGGACAACACCAAGCACTCCGCCACGCGCGCTCGCTCTCTCTCTCTCTCTCTGTGTCTCTCCCTCTCTCTCTCTCTATCTCTTTCTTCTCTCTCGCTCTCTCCTCCTCTGCCATCTCCTCCTTCTCCTGTTACTGTGGTGGGACCAGTGGTTTCTTGGCTGGTGAGCTGCTCACCGTCAGATCGTAAGCTGCCCTACACGGTGCGGCGTACGCCATTTTGTAAACGTTCATCTCGAGCCGGCCAGGCCCCAAGTACGGGCCCCGGCCTTTCTCACGCATCGGGGAAAACTCAACATCTTCAATTTAGACTCTTCTCTGGCTAGAATGGGGCCTTAATGATGAGAACAGGGTATGGAGACTGTTGTAGTAGAATTATACAGGGACCACAAGGGAATGATATTCGTAATTATTCCGACCCTTGAGTTCCCATTAGTATTCCCTTAGGGTCCCTTTGTAATTCTACTATAATAACTATAACCCCCAAAACTGTTCTAATTACCAAGGCGCCTAGAGTACATCAGCCGGGTGAAGTGGCAGACCAAGGAGGCGACTGGCGTTCGAACTCGAAACCCGTCATCTTACTGTTGGTTAGTAGGGAATGGGGGAATGAGGTACCCTATATCCCCCCCATATATACCTTTAAGGGATTATAACCCTACATCCCCCTATGATATATACCCTTTAAGGAATTATACAGGGTACCTCATTCCCCCATTCCCTACTAACCAAACATAAGTCATCTTGGCAATGTCGCGCGATCAGCTTGCTGGACAATGGGACATTTGCTTGGCAAAAAACATGGTCTTTTTGGTTTGAGGGGCTTAGGGTTTAGGGCCTAGGGTTTAGGGTCTAGGCCCAAACCCTTCGTTCACACCTGCCCCAAGAAGTGGCCTCGCAAAGACCATTGGACAGTCTATGGCAGAGTCAAAGTCTCTCTCGCCAGGACCATTAAAAGCTCTTCTCTAGCAAAGTCAAAGTCTCTCTCAAACAGTCCAGGCCATCGGGCATGCACTGGGTGTATAGCAAGCCTCGCCCACTTACTTGAAGGCTCATGGTTAGTTACAAGTAGGGTTATAAGTACCCTAAATAAGGTTTCAACTAGTCATAACAAGAGCCCCAAATATAAGTACCCCTGAACCTCCAAGTACACGGCGATTAAGTCCATACAGCCGCGTGACCAGACGGCGCACATCAGGCGAAGGTAGTAGTAGGGGAGGTCGCGGTGGGCCCGGCACCCGCCTTTAGCCGAAGAGGGCAGACGTGGGGGCCAAACCAAAACACCTGAGTCCTTACATGCATCCCTGACCCTGACAACGCAGAACCGAAGCCCTGCGCCACACTAGTTCGAAGCCCACTTCATGAAGTAATAGGGTGTGCCACCACGGGGGCCCGACTACCTGGCCCACGTTTCTTTCGTCTTCGGAAACTCGGGCAGAAGCCCCACGCCCTCGGCAACAACGCCGTGAAGCAAAGGCGATGTTATCTTCGCCGGCCTGCTTTTAGCCACCTTGCCGCAACCTCGCCACCTTGCCCAGAGCCTTATAGCCCCCCCCCCCCCGTCCTTGTAATTGCACGCCCACTTACTCATACTGCCACTTATACGCCCTGACTGCGAGATCGCCAGGTCTCGCCAACAACTTCTGTTTTTTGTGTGTTAGGGCCCCGTGGTCCGAAGCATCCTGCAAGTCTCTAACGGACAGCACTTAAAGCTTTAAAAAGTGCTCTCAACATCTCTTTCAGAAGGGCCCAGCTCCTGCAATACAAACCACCACTCCCCCTGCTGCAGGGTGTTTTCCTACAGTCCTGCAAATTCTAGAGACGAAGCTCAGACAGAGACAGAGGCAGAGGCAGAGGCCGGGACAGAGACAGGGACCGAGGCAGAGGCAGAGGCAGAGGCAGAGGCAGAGACAATACGGGCAGACAGGCAGACAGACAGACAGACCAACAGACAGACAAACACAGAGAGATACAAAGACACACGGAGACACAGCGAGACAAACAGGCACACGCACACACGCACACACGCACACACGCACACACGCACACACGCACACACGCACACACGCACACACGCACACACGCACACACGCACACACGCACACACACACACGCACACACGCACACACGCACACACGCACACACGCACACACGCACACACGCACACACGCACACACGCACACACGCACACACGCACACACGCACACACGCACACACGCACACACGCACACACGCACACACGCACACACGCACACACGCACACACGCACACACGCACACACGCACACACGCACACACGCACACACGCACACACACACACGCACACACGCACACACGCACACACGCACACACGCACACACGCACACACGCACACACGCACACCCGCGCACACACACCCGCACACCCGCGCACACCCGCGCACACCCGCGCACACCCGCACACCCGCACACACGCACACCGGCACCCGCGCCACCCGCGCACCGCGCACAGCGCGCACTACGCGCACACGCGCACACGCGCACGCGCGCACGCGCAGCACGCGCGCACGCGCGCACACAGCGGCGCACGCGCGCACGCGCGCACGCGCGCGCGCACGCGCGCACGCGCGCACGCACGCGACGCGCGCGCACGCGCGCAACACGCTCCGCGCGCACGCGCGCGCACGCGCGCACGCGCGCACGCGCGCACACGCGCACACGCGCACACGCGCACACGCGCACACGCGCACACGCGCACACGCGCACACGCGCACACGCGAACACGCGCACACGCGCACACCCGCACACCCGCACACGCGCACACCCGCACACCCGCACACGCGCACACGCACACCCACACCCACACCCACACCCACACCCACACCCACACCCACACCCACACACACACACACACACACACACACACACACACACACACACACTCTGTTGGGAAGAGCGTGCCATACGTACCGGTGCATGCTCTGCATGAGGAGGTGGTGTACGCGTTTTCAAGAAGAAGAAGAACTGTTTAAAGCAGGTGAAGCGTGAACGAGATCTTATGTGGATGCAAGCGACGTGTCTCCTTATTGATGAGAACGGAGATGGTGACGATGACAACGACAACGATTCTGACCCCTAAGCCCTACACCCGAAACGCCCCGATCGAACGCGCCACGCCTGCGCAGAAGTAGCACAAGCAAAGGAAGGGCATCTGCACGAGGCAGAGGAAGGCAAGGCAGCATGCCGTGATTCCGATGGCGATGCCCTTGTTCGTGATCTCGAGGACCGAGACCTCCGAGTTCGGGTGTACAGGGTTCGGAGTTGGGCCCTCTGCCGATTGCTACTATTTGCTTAAGATCCACCCCAGCAGAGAAAACATAATCCCTGTATGGCCTTATGAGGAAGAGTTTTTTTCGGGAGGTTCTTATGCAAATAGTGGATTCGGGGCCAAGTTTTGGGGAGAAAAAAAGCCTGACTAGCCCTAGGACGAGTAGGCACGAAAGCCTGACTCCAGGGAAACGTCGGGCCAAGTGCCCTTCCAATGGTCAGGTCTCAATTTAGGGTTCAGGGCCTAGGGTTTAGGAATCATAGGCGTTAGGTACCTTGTATCCCCCGATATACACCCTGGAAGGTGGGTAGTTACAAGCGGGTCATTGGTGAGGTAACTAGTAGCTACCCTTGAACCTTCAGGTACTACCTCTGAACCACACAGCTTGTCTTTAACCGCTACAGCGTCCTGCATACCAAAGATGTCGTGCCCCACAGATTCTGCAAGTTCTGTACCTTAGAACCCAGTTCTCGCACCTTGAAGCTTTCAAACCCTAAACCCTAAACCCTAAACTCCAAACCCCTAAACCAAGAAAGTCAACTCTTGGTTGGCCTCCCAGGACGCTTTGAAGAGCTCCCACGAGGCATCCTCAAACAGGAAACCTGCGAGCTTTCAGAGTTTGGCGCTTCGAGCTTCCCTAAACCCTAAACCCTAAACCCTCAAAAGGGCCCCAGGGTGATGTTGAAGTAGGGGATAGGACTAGGGCACCCTTGGGGATAGAGATCCTCTGAAGAAGGCCCCTGTTTATGAGAGCCAGAAGAGGGTTCGGAAGGGTTCCCTCTTCAGGGCTTTTCATGATCTTCCCTAGGACTTGAACTTAATCCCTGTTCCCCTAGGAAAGGAAGGATCCTTTTTGTTCATATATAAGAAAGCCCATAACCCAAAAAGTAAAAAGGATCCCTAACACTGATAGTAAACCCTAAACCCTAAACCCTAAACCCTAAACCCTAAACCCTAAACCCTAAACCCTAAACCCTAAACCCGGTGAAGGGTTAGGAGTTCTGGTGGAGTCGACCATTGCCACAAGATCCGTCTCAGCAGATTCGGCCTTCGAACTTGGTTGCAGTCGAGGAGCCCTCGTGCAAAGAGCCGATCCAGCCGCAGATAAGAAAGGCGTGGGTGAAGACGACCTGAATTTCTTCAAAGGCTACCGGTTTAGGGTTTAGGGTTTAGGGTTTAGAGTTTAGGGTTTAAGGCTGTCTGAGTTGAAGGCATCCGGTTCGCTGAATGCTTCGCTCTTTCTTGCTTGAATGTTCATGGGTACTCAGAAGTAGGGTGTTAAGCACCCTTATTAACGTCATTCTAACAAGCTGAAAGTTCTAGTTGCCTTACCTATAACCCCACCTTTAACTACCCATAAACCTCCAAGATCCTCCAAGTACTACTGACAACACGAACTGCCTATTGTAGTTGACAGGTTTCCTGCAAGGGGTGGGACGCAAAGCAGGACCAGCCGAGCGGCCACAGAGACAACGTTGAACTTGTAGCAAGGAACATAAGGAGCGATGAGAACCACGAGCTCTGCCTGCATCAGTGAGCAGGTGAAGGCGTAGCCCAGGTACCGGAGACCGTTAACGTTGTCGATGTGCAGCCAACGGAAGACCGAGAAGAATGCCGCAGCCGCCTGAGCAACACACATGGCGATGTTGAGGTTCCGACAGTAGGTGATTCTGTCTGCGCAAGGCTTGTTCGGCATCTCCGGCCAGGTCTTCATCAAAGTCCACCATTCATCCACGGCTGGAGAGATGTAGTCCTGAAACATGCGCCACGAAGCATTGATCGGCTTCTTGACATCGGTCCTCACCACGATGCGGAGGGCGAGGTAGGTGAAGAAGAAGCCAAGAATGATGCTGGTGAGGCTCTCGATGGCGAACGCGGGGTAGAGCGGCCCGCACGCACGAAAGAGCTGGTAGTCGTTGAGACCTTCCACAACCGACATCCCTGGATGGGGTGCTACAAATGGCCTGTGCAGTTGCTGGATCCGGGCAAATGGCTCAGCGTCCAAAGGTCCGTCGCAATCAGTACTTCAGTTCTACAACCCCAGAGCCCCAAGCCTTACTTGGAGGTTCCTGTATATTTATAAGAGGGGTTCTTAGTAGGCTAACTAGAAGTGGTTGTACACTTATTTAGAGTAATTACTTATAACCCTAATAAGTTCTGCCCATCCTAAACCTTTTGAAGATGTAGAGATGTTTGCGACTGCGCGATAAGCGATGTTGGCATGCGCTTTTCTCTCTCTTAGCTGTCCAATTCTGCGTTGCTTGGCAAAGAGCGCGGCTGCTTGTCACATTGGGAGTGGAAGTAGTTTGAGTCTCAACCTGTCAGATCATCTGTTGCACCTATGATATCCTGAAATCCGTCTATTCTCACATTTCGCGTCCTCTACCACGCATGCGTTCTATGTGAAACCCTACGTGTGGTGAGACAATTTCGCAGCACGTGCACGCATTGCGCGCGTCTTCAGCTGCATGTGAGACGTCTGCCTTCCTCCACTTGCACCACGCCCTTCGCTACATCACTAAGTCTTCGGCCTGAAAACCCGAAACCCTAAATTCCCACCCAGGCCTCCTTAGGTCGTACCCACCCTTTTCAAGGGTGCCGGGACCCAGAACTACACCCGACAGCCATTAACACCATCGCTTGGACTTACTATGCGTCCCTCACCCTGGCCTGGCCCCCTGGCCCCCTGGCCCCCTGACCCCCTGGCCCCCTGGCCTCCTGGCCATCTGGCCACGAAGCTCGATCAATATCTGACCCAGGACCCTGAATGGAGAGGCAACAAACCAGCTATGAACGGGGAGTGAAGCATGCCACTCATGTCTACTATATGCCTCGGTCTGCCGCGTTGCTCTGGGAGATCCATTTGTCACTAAGGATGGGAAGACTTGTGCCAGAACGGAGAAACCCATCTTCGTTAAAGGGCGCCAGGAGACGATTGGATCCGCGTGACGAATAACTCTCGGCATGCCATGCAAACATGCAACTTGAATCCCTAGCCTCCAGTAAGATCTTTCAAGAAGCGATGGATACTTCGAGCATCGCCTGTGGACGTAGCAGCCAGCATCTTATCACGGGCACTCGCACTGCCCTTTTCTTTTGACAAACCTCAAAGCCTCTTCGTTCGCAGATGCTTTGTGGAGTACTTGGAGAGGCATCTCCAGTTAGTGGCGCCTTCAAGCCCCGTTTTCTGCCGTCTGGAGGCCCTTTCGCTTCGTATAACGCCCTTCAGATGCCCTGTGGATGGAGGCATTGTCGCCGTCGCTCGATGGTACTCGATGCCTTTCATGCTGTCATCCGGAAAATAAACGAGAAAAATCTTCTACCAAACTTACTAACCCCCCTATTTGCAGGACAGGGGTGGGAAGTGGGAAAATAGGGCGTCAACCCGAAACCCTACAAGGAAAAAAGTTGGGTGGAAGCCTGCGGAAGCAGGGGGTGGGAAAAAAAGAACAACCCAACCTTTCTGGTTGCAGTGGCTCCAACTTCTATATACGCCGTCGCGACGTATGCCGCCCCCTCACACCCCCTGGGTCTGTTGGGGCGCCATCTCCGCATGAAATCTACTGCCGCGGCGCGGCGAGAAGCCCTAAACCCTAAACCCTAAACCCTAAACCCTAAACCCCGAAGCAAAGGCCTTCGATCCCCAAGGATGGCCAAACAACAGCCTCTCAGGATTCGTCGGCCGCGGGCGGGAGAGGCTCCAGCCTGAACTCTCCCAAAGCCCCCAAGAAGAAGGGCCTAGGGTTTAGGGTTTAGGGTTTAGGGTTAGGGTTTAGGGTTGTTAGGGTTGTTAGGGTTGTTAGGGTTGTTAGGGTTGTTAGGGTTGTTAGGGTTGTTAGGGTTGTTAGGGTTGTTAGGGTTGTTAGGGTTGCTAGGGTTGCTAGGGCTGTTAGGGCTGTTAGGGTTGTTAGGGTTGTTAGGGTTGTTAGGGTTGTTAGGGTTGTTAGGGTTGTTAGGGTTGTTAGGGTTGTTAGGGTTGTTAGGGTTGTTAGGGTTGGGCTGTTAGGGTTGTTAGGGTTGTTAGGGTTTAGGGTTTAGGGTCCAGGGTTCCAGGGTTCAGGGTTTAGGGTTGATTTACTGTCCACGGACCCTGGCGGCGTGTTGGATGTTTTTGGGGGAGGGACCACCCTTACACCCCCCAAAAAACAAATCTTAAAAACGCGGGGAGGGGGGGGGGTTGGGGGGTCGGTGCATACCTCCAAACCCTCTAAACACCCCCCCCCCCCCCCCACCCCCTCCCCGCCCCAACTCACGCCCACCCCGCCCCCCCTTTTTTCCCCCCACACCCCCCACAGCCCCCCCACACTAGCTGTTGGGGGTTTGGGGTTTGCAGCTTAGCTTAGAAACCCCCGCCCCCCGCACCCACACCCCCTCGCAGCCCCCGCACAGCCCCCCCCCACACCCCCACACCAATACCCTACAGCCCAACCAAACCTGCCCCACGGTCGACCCCAAAGCCCTAACTATTCTAAAGAGAAGAGCATTAGACCCACAGAGGCTCAAAACCTGAAGTGAGGGCTCTTGAAAGATTAGGGTTCTGGGTATAGGGTGTGGGGTTTCGGGTTAGGTTTGAGGGTTGAGAGGTTTCGGGCCTCTTGGGTCGGCGGCCTGAGCCGGAGGCTCCTAAATTGGGTTGGGTTGAAGGATTTGGGTGTAGGATTTGTAGGTCATGCCCCTTATTCTCCTTATGTATCAGGCCAAACCTAACCCTCAAACCCCTGACATCAAACACCCCGGGCTTAGTGATTAGAATAGTGTGTAATTAGGGACCATGAGGGGATAATACTAGTACATGTTCCGACCCTATATGAAGCCCCTCAAGCTACCCGAAAAGCCCTTAAGCCCCTTAAGCCAGTTGAACCCCTTGAGCCCCTCAAACCCCGCAAACCCCTTAAACGACCTAAACCACATAAACCTTTTAAACTGCTTAAACCTCAATCTGCAAAGCCCTAGAAACCTAGTGTAGGTTTAGGGTTTAGGGTTTAGGGCTGGTGCCCTTAAACCTTTGAACCCTAAAGGCTTAGGGGTGTAGGACTCGCAAGGAGGCTGGGGGTTAGCCTTGTTTTGAGGGCATCATGAGACCAGGACGCCCTATGCCCCACAATGCCCCTAAGATTGTCCTAAACCCGAAACCTTTGGTTAACGTTGATTTGAGCAAGCTTTCCAGATGGCTTGTACCCATCCTTGTGGCTCCCTTGCGACCTAAACACTCAACTCTAAACCCCCAAACTCTAAACCCTAAACCCTAAACCCTACACCCTGTACCCTAAACCCTAAAACCTATACCCTAAACCCATGGCCTCATGGGCAAAGGCTGCTCCGGACAGTCCGTGAAGCTCTGGCCATTGAGGGACACCTGGCACATACACCGAGCACAGGCAAAGGGGGCGCCACGGAACGGCTTTGAGACGTGCAATAAGCCCACAGACCCAGAGAGCCCAATACCCCTTAAATAAGGAATATACCTTAAATCATATTAAGGATCCCTATATGATTTAAGGTATACTCCTTATTTAAGAGGTATTGGGCTCTTTGGGGACCCTTGATGACAAGATCTCCTCAAGTTCACGCTGGTGACTCATGGTAGCAAGTCCAGCAACCTACCCAGCACACCTCTGCGCCTAAGTCTAGACAACCTACATCCCATATCCCCGGCAGCGAGGAAGCCCAGTCCAGTAACAAAGATAGCAGGAAGGGTGTTCCAAACACAAATGCAAAAAAAAGGCGAAAAGAGCATGCATCCTGTCCCACACTCTATTGACATTGAGCCTTTGGTAATGATTAATTAAAAGCATAGGTCCAACCGTAGACTTCATAGTAAAATTATTTGTAATAGTAATAGTGATAATATTAACAGTCATTGTCCATATTAATAGTAGAATTAAAAATAATAGTAATCGGCTTCGGGTTTCAGTACGGGGCGCTAAGCTCTAGCTAAGGAGGCTTTCGAGCGGACCCTGCTTGGAGGTTCATGGTACTTCTTAACCAATTATAACTGTAGCTATAACCCACTTATAAGCCCCTGAAGTGCCCTGATATGGTTATAAGTACAGCCATAAGTACAGTTATAGTTGGTCAATGAGTACCATGAACCTCCAAAGTGAAGACATGAGCCCTTCCCGGAAACTCGAGGCCCCAAGACCGAGCTCCCAAGTCCATCGTAGGGTTTAGGGTTTTTGGGGGTTAAACCCTAAACCCTAAACCCTAAACCCTAAACCCTAAACCCTAAACCCTTCGGGTTCAGGGTTAAGCGGATTGCACCTGGAAGTTCTTGAGGAAGAGGGGAAGGCCCTCGGGTACCTCCTCTGACCTCTGGAAGTGTCAGGTTGAGGGGCTCAGGGTTGACAGCTTGGGGTTCAACAAAAGGGTTTCGGGTTTAGGGTTTAGGGTTTAGGGTTTAGGGTAGAGAGAGGTTTAGTGTTTAGGGTTCAGGGTTCAGCCCTGAGCATAGCCTACACGGGGTTTCATCCCACTGTCGCACTAGGTATATTGGGGGCCTCTACGGGTATGTATGGGGTACATCGTGGGTATAAGTATAGGGGTATAATAATACACGGGGGTATTGCGGGGGGTAGATAGGGGGTATTTCGACCTATGCGAACCCGCCATCATCAGAAACGAGCTTGGCTTCAAGACGCTTAGGGTTGGGGGTTTCGGGTTTAGGGTTCAGGGTTTAGGTTTCAGGGTTTTGGACAATGTGGCGCAAACAGCCTACAGGGCCTCCACTGCGTGCCGACGCCGACCTGGTGCCCAAATTACTGCTGCATGGAAGGATGACGATGGTCGTCCCAAACAAGGACAGACGTGAGCCGGGCAGAAAAAACGCTACTCACATGCGTGAACAGGGCATCCGACTGCGTACTGCCGCAGCTCGTGTCGACCTCATGCCATCGAGTCCGTCACCGTCGAAACCACGCCATGCTACCAGCAGTTGACAGT